TTTAATGGAAACCTGGCATACTGAATGTTAGTATATCAAGTTTTTCCAGGCATGAAGAGATAGGAAAAACTCCTTGTTCTTATCCTTTCCTTTTCATGCCTCTATTAAAGGCATAGGAGACGGGGGAAAAGACATATTCCTAGGTCTAACCATTCCTAGGTGTATCAAATAGAAAATGCTAAGACATTTCAAAACTTCATTATCACAGCACTGAACTCATATCAAGTTCAAGATGTTACAGGATCATATATTGGATTTAAGTTTATAGCATAGGAATATTCTCCTTGATATGCAGCCAACTCTGGGCCCTTTTACCTGCCTTAAAACAATCAGGAAAATAAACCCTGACCTGCACACAGAATCCACACTGAGAAAAGTATTAGTAAATATAGGATGTAAATGTATGAATAATTCATTAACACCACTCACATTTTATTACATGCCAAGCTAAAAAAAACCCCCAACAACAACAGCCAATTAGGTTGCTGCCCTACTTCTACACCATTGCTATCACTTCACAATAAGCCTAACAGATTATTAATAATGCACACGTAGTCAGGCTTGCTTATACAGTCATGATTAAGAATGCTTTTTTTCCCCAAGACATTAGCCATTACTCTACTTTAGACCCATTGCCATCACAAATGTAGTTGTCTGAATCAACTCTGTCCTGCTTCTCTAGAATTATGGCCAAACTCTGCTGTCCTCACTGGCAGTTGTGCCAATAACTTCCTTCCTGAACTTTCATCCTCTTTGGTTGTAGTGTAATTTATTAATTCAATTTGTATGCCGCCCCTCTCCGAAGACTCAGGGCAGAGTTACCTTACCCCTTTAGTTACTGCAACTATTAGCAAAAGATGGGAATAAATCAGGGTGGTACAAGGAAAAGTAGGGGCTTCTATACCTGTGGTGATGCCATTTCTGATTCACATTTATGCCATTTTATCTTTGTGCAAATCCACTTCTCTTCCTGATTACTTACATCTCTTCTCCATTTTATTTTTGGAGGTATGTTATCATGGGGTCAAGACATATTAACATTCAGCTGGAAAGCAAAACTAGCTTTATTTTTAAGAAAACTCACTGACTTGGGCATTTGAAAATACCCTGTCACTCCCTTATTGCATACTCAACTGTATAGTTCACTGCTTCATAGAGCATTCTCTTTCTGGGGATTGTTATAATTAGGTACTGAGCTTGTACATTGAGAGGAGCATCAGGGCATATATACTGTCAAATATACCGAACTTGAGTTTAAAAAGGGGAGCTACAAAGAAAAAATTGCAGTTCCAGTCCTAACTGAAAGTACAGACACCAAGAGAAACGGTTCTAGAGGAAAAGAATGACTACACTTCTAGAGATATCCATATTTTTGGCAATATACAGAAACAGTTAACTGATCTATTTTCAAAAAAACAAACAAACAGGGATGGAAGCTGTGAAACTGCTCATATATTACTGTGATTCAATCCTATGGCTTTTGGGTGTATGTGTGTAACTGTCTAACAAACACAAAATGATAACGATAAAAAATAACTGGATTACAAACTAAACAAGGCCAGTGCTGTGTGATAAAGGTACTGCTTAAGCCTTTAAATAGGGAAAGAAAAATTGTATGATTTTTTGGGGGTGAAACTCTCATATTATTTTTACTAGTTAGTGAAATATTTATGAAAGTAATACAGGAGCGAGTTCACACACAAAAAAAAAGCTGCATCTTGGTTCTATGTACAATGTATCAAAGTATAAAAAAACCAGATATTTCAGAGTAGTTCTGGTTACTAGCTTTATAATTTGCATGCCTTCTGCTAACCAACCATGTAGACATATCATATGTGAACAATGCTGCAACTGTGATTGCCAAAATCATGAACAAATGTATAATAAAAAATTTCTATCCAGTTCTGAACTACCCCAGAACTGCATATATTTCATATCTCATTAAATCCCAACAGTGTGATGACTGGAATTCAAAGTTTAAATGTGGGGAAGTCAGTCCAAATCCTTGTTCATTTTTTGAATTATGAAGCCTACTTTAAAATTGGGAGATTGGTTGAGCAAACTGCATTATCTTTTGGGACATCAAAATAATATCCTGAACTCCTTAGAAAAAAAGAAGAGATAAAAATAAATAAATAAAGAATGGGTGTGTTTGTATTAGCAAGCTTTATAAATGTTCCATCTGAATTAAATAGTTAACATTTACCCAATAACTTTTTTATAAAGAAAATAATTCAATTCTATTTATTTCTATTTATTCTTTATTTATTTCATTTATTTAATCAACATGCATTTCAGAAGAAATATAATTTACCATGTTGTCTCCCCCTAATGGTTTCATGGTTTAAGACCACATGTAATAATATAATAATGTGGACAAAAATGCCAAATCCAGTCTGAACATCTGGCTGACTGTGTGACAAACCATGATGATGATGATGATGATGATGATGATGATGATGATGATGATGATTGCAGGTATGTAACTCAAAATGAATCTGTACCTAGCATTTCAAAATTTTAATTTCTTCACAGTGAACAAAATTACTGCAAGTCATCTTTTCTACTTAGTACAAGAAAATAAATAGGTCAAAAATATATCCAGTTTTCTACAAGATATAAAAATACCCTCGGTTTCTGGTCATGATAAGATTCTTTTACCTCAGACCTATGGAGTCTTCATACATTTTTGCTTTAAAAAGCATATCACCAATAGAAATCAATTTATTTTCGAGTTCACACCCTTAGGGTGATCATCTAGTCCGACAGTCATAAAACATTTAATTACTTTCCTGCCCTATATTTACAGCAGTCCTTGAACAGTACTCAAGTACTCCTTGAATAATACACCTGTGTCTTGCCTCTTAACATGGTGTGTTACTAAAAGCACATTGTTTTCACTCCCTGGAGTAGGAGTACCTTCACAAGTAAGGTACTTCAATTTTTAAAACACTGAGTGTGTCATGATTTCTATAATGAAAGATTAATCATTTCTGTTTGGTATTTTATGAATAACAACTTTTAATTTCTGCTGATTATGGAGGGGGATATGCTCAGTGGCTATTTTGGAAACTCTATAAATGCCTTAGAAGCAAGATAGCCTTTTTGTCAAAAACAACATACATACAGCCAGCTTTTTGATGGTATATGTGTATTAGATTACAACTGTCATTTACAAAAAGCTTGGGGGGGGGGTACGTATAATTTCCTGGAACATTATAGAAATATAGATGACTTAAACTGCTGTCAATACAAAGTCAACTGCCCTCATACTAGTGATTCTGTTCAGAAAAACATTAAAATTATTGACAGTGACTCTTCTTTCTCTTTTGTTTCCAACTTCTATTAACAGTACAATAGAAGCTCAGGCAATAAAACTTATACCTTTGAGATACAATATTATTTAGAATAATTAGAGTGGAATTTTATGGCTCGTGTTAAATGCTGCATTAATTTTGAAATATCCGTTTAGCAACACTACAGACAGCAATAGCCTCATTCTTAACATTTGTGCTTCTTTGTTTACCTTTGAAACAAGTTTAAGAAAGCTATGATTTTAATGGAAAGCCATATGCCCAATTAAAAAAAAAATTAAATTAAGAAAGTAATATACATGGACATTTGGCATATCACAAATTTGTTGCTAGTAAATTTTTCTGTAACAACATCCTTATGGTACTGTTCTGCACTGAAATGCACCAGAGAAAAAATAACATTGTACAAATTTCTTCATATAAATTTAAAATGGAATTATGATTATGATCATTTACTATCAAGATAGAAAATCAAGTATAATAATTAGATAATACAATAAATGGAGATCCATAAAAGTACAAAATAAAAAGAGATCAAAAAACCTAATTTGTACTAATACTTCCTAACTGTGATTGCTGCTAAACAGCCATTGGCTATTTTCATGAATATGGACCATCCACTAATAAACATTATATACCAGAAAGAGAGAGAGAGAGAGAAAGAGAGAGGGAGGGAAGGAAAGAAGGAAGGGGGAGGGGGAAGGGGAAGGAGGGAGGGAGGGAGAGAGAGAAAAAGAGAAAGAGAATGAGAACTTAAAGGATAGCAGAATGAGGGTGTTGCATTAGTATAAATAAATCACTTGCAAGTAGTGGCCCTCTGAATCAGTTCCTCAAAAGTTATATAACTATAATCACTTGAAGATTGAGTTTTTCTGGTCAGGTACATATATGGCCAGTTAAGGCTTCCACTGAGAGAACAGCTATGCATCCTGTTGCTGTAAAAAGCTACTAATTTAACTCACAAACATTAAAAGAGTTAGATATTCATGACCTAAACTATATTTGAAGGTATTATAGTTTTTATTTTACGCAGCCATCAGTATTCAAACACAGCATGCTAAAAACAGAAACTGGCTACAACAGGATATTCTCTTGCAGTCTTAATATGATTTTTAAAAACCGCTTTAACATAAAGAGTCATATTTTGAAGGTTCCATCAAATAAAAGATGGCCATTTATATCCTGATCCGGAGCATATAGCATTGTACGCAATACTACTCAAGCCATTTTTTTTTGTCAAAAATATGACAATTAAAAATATTAAAATACCGGTATACAAAGCCTATTATATGAACACACCTAAATAAAAGGCATTTTTTAATTGTGCTTTCTCTTGAGTATATCTGTTTCCAATTGGAATCTTATTGAAGACTGTATGAAAAGCATAAAGGGATGAATAACATTCTGGATCTTGACTTCATAAACATATCTTTACAAAACCAAGATAAATAAAATAGCTACCAAACAACCAACAAACAAGATTTGACATGTTGAGTCTGAAGAAGCTGATACAGATCTAACATGTCAAAAATTCACACTACACACTAACAGATGCCAGACCCTTAACTAGACATGATAGATCATAATGAGATTTTCCAGTGATCTCCACTAAATTAACAAAAGCAGCCTCAATGTATTGCAAGAGTTCTAGTTTCACCTACATTCTCTGCATTAAACTATTTCCTTCTACATAGAAGGGCACACATTTCAAACCTCAGGACCATGCATCGGCTCTAAATTAAGTAACAAGAGCAGGAAAAACACAAGGAGCTAGATGTGGGAGCATACAGAAGACAAAAGACATATTATTTCATTCCTGACAGTCAATTCAATATATGTCTCCTCAGGAGCCAGTTCTATTGAGTTCAATGGAATTTACTCCCAGGTAAGTGTATTCAACACTGGATACTCAGTTGCTTTCTTAAAACTATTTGTATTTAATGGAGTCTACTGAAAATAATGGAAATAGTTTTACAACACTGACTGTGGAACATGCACTAATATAGAGAGCATTAGAAATAGAAAGTAGGAAGAAACAATTAAATGTTCAATAGATTTGAATTATAAAACAGATAATAATTAGAACAAGTGCAGTGCAGTGTTTTTCTATCACTAATAATATATGGATAATTAGAAAAACTGAAAAAAGAAGAAACACTGATTTGATTCAGCTAGATATAAAGAGAGTATGTATCTATTTAAATAAAGCAATATACACAATTAAAATGTTTAAATGGCTATGCTAATGAACAAAGCTAATTAATAAAATATTGCATTTATTTTATCAAAAGTGGAATGATAGAATGGAATAATATGGAATGATAATTTCTAAAATATTAAGATTAGTAGAATAGTGCTGTACGGTCAAGACGTTCGTTCTTTCACTTTTAGAACTATATGGATATAAATCTTACAGATTACATATCATCAACGCAATTAGCTACTTTAAAAAATAAAATATTTTGTTTTAACATTCCTGCTGCAATGTTCACTATTGACAACTGAACTAACTGAACTAACTCTAGGTGTATGTGGGCATTTATTTAGTAAGAACATGTTTGAAGCATTATTTTGATGAATTCTGTAATTAGGAATTCTATTCCTAAGCATTCTTCTTTGGATATAAGGTTCACAATTTATGTTTCAGTGAATATTTCATTTATTTACACGAAACGTGCTTCCATCTACAGATTAATTTTCAAGGCTTCATATTTCTTAAGATTATGTTTCTTGTGCACTTCAAACAATAGAAATGAGGCAATATTCTAAGGAACAAATCAACCATTGTACTGAATATAATTAATATTATAGACAGCACATGCTCTGGTTGCCTTTTTTCTTCTTCCTTCTCTAACATTTCTGGCATAAGACTTAGAGACAGAGAGACAGAGAGAGCGCTAATATATGCTAAATGAACTCCACAGAATGCTGTACATACTGCTTTGATCATATACAGTAACAACTTCCATATTTAGTTTTGCTTACAAAGTCTCATTAAAATTACTCAGAAATATGTATTCTGTGTATGAGATAGATATCACAAAATCTTACTTTCAGACAATCTCAATATGTCGTAAGGTAGTTCGTTATCCAACATATCCCCAGTTAGGTCAACAAATAGCAATGATTCCGAATTTGGAAGCCCTCCCACAAAAGACTTAATTTAAAATTACAATAAATGTTAGCCTCAACTTTAACAAGAACCACATATACAATTTTATTATAATACATATTCCGGTTAGTATTAGTCATTTCACACTTTTGATAATTTATATAACACACAAACTGAAATTTACTATGATTTGTTGGCTTCTTTCTTAAATTAAGACCAAGCTCATGCACACCTGAAGAAACTCCAATATCGTGGGGATGTAATCAATCCCCAAACATTTGTGAATTTCAATTCTAGTATGTGTTCCTAGAAAGTTTGTGAAGAATATGTTCACACAATTTTTAATTATAACTAACTATATTCTCATTTTGTTGAAACATCTATTTTCAGGATTTAATCATTTAAATTTTGAAGCTAAGATTATTGCCTGAAAGTAAGTTCCTAAAAGGGCTTATTTAGGCTGTCTTAAATATGCTTGCATAGAGCAATGAGCATATCTTCTTTTCAGATAAATTTGTGCATGTTGCAGATACATACTTGGTGAATATATTTACAAGCTATTCAGTCATTGCATTCAGCTCTTTAGTTAAGTGTTTAGTTTCATAATTCTGCCATACTCTAAAATGTACACTTTTATCTAGAAGCCTTATTAGCTCCAAGTCCAATCTTCCTAACTGGAGAGTTTAAGTCTGGAACTTCAATCTAAAAATAAATTTCATCAGACAACTTGCCTTAAACTGACTGACATCATTACCCCAAACCAAAAGTATAACATGGGAATGTATGTTGTATTGATTTCAGTGAGATGTACATTGAAGCCATGTGTTTATGAGCAGGCTGTAAAGCTCTTTTGTCTTTTCCAGTAACCTGCTACCAAGAGGAAAATTAAATAATATTCCTCCACAGAAGAATGTTTGTGATCTATGTAAAGCTTTTGTGCTTCTGCTTGCTCTGTTTTTTAATTACTGTAACCTATGTATTTCAACTAAATACGAGGATTACTATTATATCTCAAATCCTATAACCCGTCTACGACCATCCACGCATCAAGGTTGCAAACATTTAAGACTCTTAAAAAATGACTGAGATTCTAGTATCAGTTTACTATCCCTTCAACAATTTCCTTGACAGTGGAATCAAATAATGTTGAATTATAGACCTCCTCACAAGAACTCTTATTTCATTTTTTTTTATCATTTCTCTGCTAGCCCCTATAGGAATTTGGCTGTTTGCCAGTTTCCATTTATATTTCTATATACATACTGCATTTGACTTACATAGGAAGATTAAATGATGATTCTGTCAAAGATTATTATTTTTATATTTGTTAACATTTATTTTACACAAGAAAAATACTGTTGCCTGAATACATTGCGTATATGCTCACACATTTTATTTGGATCTGTGCTAGCAATTATTTTATACTGCGGTGTCTTCAAAAAAAAATCTCTAGTCAATAAAAGCAACTTGCATATACATTATTGAAAGGTAAGTGTCATAATCTTTTACAGCTCACCCAGTGGCACCTGAAAGCTGAGATGAAGCAACTTACAGTGAAGACTCCCTGGGCACTGGTTGAAAGGATAAGAATTACCTATGAAACCAACACCCTCTTCTATGATTTACGGGACCACTTTGTTCTGTTTAGTCTGAGACTGTATATCCACATATACATTTTCCTACCAGCAACAAGGAGCACCTCGATGTTCTTAAATGATTATTTATTCTGATAAACATTTTAAGAACTATGTAGATATTTAACTGATTTGTTGGCAATACAAAGCGGAGCCCTTGCAAAGAAAAAAGTGGCATCGAACTTCATTAAACTTAACACCCAATTAAATATACATTTATTTACATTCACAAATTCAAACTCCAGTTCCTATAAAACAGCTTGTTAATTATAATAAATCAGTTTGTCTCCTGAAGGTATATCAAATGTAGTGATAATCTGTAGAAGCTACTATTTTGACATGCTAAAACCTGTAGTTAATTCTGGGAAAGAAACTATTATCATCTACTCTGAACATCCTTCTAGCAGAAAGGCTTATATAGAAACATTGTTTAATACTTAGAAGTGATTATTTAAATTACAATACATGGAGTAGCAATAAGTTATAACTTTATCCTTAAAAGGACTTATCCTTCTATGAGGATAAGAAGAATTTTACCATGCTCCAAAAAATCTAATAGGCTTCTCATCACTTGGCAGAATGCTACTAATGACCAATTCACAGTGTTTGTTATTGTTTTGTAAACTGTTGCAGTATTTATCTACAGTTTCCCTTCAGGGAAAGTGGAATTTATATGAATGTACAAGCTATCAGAATCACTTTTACTAAAAAACAAATCCAAGTGATTTAAAGGAAGCTTGGTTTTGGATCTGCTTAGCATTGTTAAATTACCACAGTTAGAATTATGTAGCACAATCCTATTCATATTTTCACAGAAGTAAATACTAATGCAACAAAATAAGTCAATTCTTCAATAAAAGTATTTCAAAATTGCAGTTTAACTGTCAACAGTTGCTATGATGGCATAAAATGCTGAGAATAAGATACATTAATATCTATTGGTAATAAAAACATGTTCTTTTTAAAAATGCAATAAAGTATTTAAAAGCTTATTAACCAACATCCAAAACAACTAAATCGTAAATATATAACATGGATATAAAAGTTGATATGTACAGGTACTGCTTTATTGCTACATTGTAACCATAAGTATTTCACTAAATATATATTCCAGGTAAACAGATAAATGATAAAAATATAAATTCTGTAAATCTTCCAATTTTTAAAATATGTAACTAAGTGCAATTTAACATCCTGATACTAGTACGCAAGGTTCATTTCAAAACTGGATAAAGAGTCAACTTACATTAAGGGAAACAACCTACTCACGTATTCACAATATAATCTGTGAGCTAATATTAAAGGCTAATCACTCCTTAGACGTGCAAATGAGGCTCAATTTAATTTGTGCAAGATTTATAATTCTGAGGTATGTTTACTTGTTATGTCAAAATAAGTGAGCTTAAGATGGAACTTAAGTATTGAAGTCAATAGGTTTTGCTTTTAAAATGAATATATTTTGAGTGAAGGAGAGGGAGGAGGAAGAGCATGGTAGTTTCATAATTGTTGGAAATAAACTGGATAAGTGGATCAAACCCACTTTTCAGTTTTAAATAGCAAGTTCCATACCAGCTCATCTGTTAAATTAAAAGGTGTGCAGTTTTTATTTTGTTTTGGTATATTCCAAAGTTGGACTTCCCATGCTCTGTATTAATACAAGCAATCCGCATACAAGTTTCAAGGAAAAAAATTCTTAGAAATTAACTCTCCATCACCATTCTCAATCCTAAATTTTCAATTTTCTAGTCAGCTTTGTACAAAATTTCTATACAAATTGTACAACTATTTTAAGTTGATTTTAAAAAAAAAAAGTATTTATTCTGGAGATAAACGTTATTTCCAAAAAAATATTTTAGGCTCTGAAAGTCAATCTGCTGGGCTAAGAGAATTGTTACATTATGGTGATTTCTCACCTCTACCCAAGTCCCATAAATTTCCTTCACTCTCTATAAGCAGATGGCCAGTTCAAGGAGACAGGGCGATGATTTTTATTCCCTCCACTAGATTCTGAAGTAAAATATGCCACTGTTACACCTTCTACCTGACACATACCTAACCTCTTCTAGAGCAGCAAGGATTCCCTCTTAAATGTTGCCTGGTTTAATTTAACACATGCGCGCTCTCTCTCTCTCACACACACACACACTAGTTAACTAAAGTGTGCCCATACAATCGTCTTCCTTTCCCAATGTAGAAGGTTCCTTAGAGAAAAGGTCGGGTGTCACTGAGGCTCCCTGCCACCACTGAATAGCAGCAGACCAGTGATACCAGAGTCACAAAGGCCTACTCAAGCCTCAAAGGCAGAGCAAGCCCTGGGCCACTTGCTCTCCCTTATTCCTCCTTTTCCCGCTGGGGGGGTGTAGCTGAGAGCAGACACAATTGCTGGCTTCTTTGGTGCCTTTCTTCCCTCTTCGGTGCTTTTCCCATCCCTGCCCACTTGCCCCATTGTCTTCCTTGGACAGCCGTCAGGGCATGACTAAACCTCAGCGGGAGGCCAAGGGAAGCACAGGGTGACCTCTGCCTGCCTCCAAGCTCTGTTGCTTACACTCTTCTCTCTCCCCCCCCACACACACCCCAAGGAGCAAAAAACCTTCCTCAGCGCCCCCCCCCCAAAAAAACCGATGCCCTTCCTTCATCCCTAACTTGCTCACGGACCCGCCCTTAAACACCAGACGCTGTTCGCCATTTCGCAGGCCTCCGGGCACCTTTCCCGGGGAGGGGGTTGTGAAACCGGGACGCCCCGAGCGTGGAACTGAGGAGGCTGCGAAAGAGGACCGAAGGAGGGATAGCGGGCGGTGGGGGGGAACGACGACCTGAGCGCTTCCCCCTGAGGCTCTGTTAGGCCCGCAAGCCCGCCTTTTTTCTGCGCGGCCGCGAGAGCCTCTCGGTTTCCAACCTCCACACAGCAAACAGCCGTCTTATTTTTTCCCCCCCCTCTCCCCGAGGTAAATCTCTGAACTCGCGGCCTGCTTTCAGCGACGGGAGCCATACATACATACATACATACATACATACATACATACATACATACATATGTTTTTCCTCTAGTCAGGTTTTTCCTAGGTAACCAAGGTTTTTCTGCAGCCCTAGCTCAGTGGAATCACATCCAGGTTTTTCTGAGCTAGGGCTACAGAAAAACCTTGGTTAGGTAGGAAAAACCTGGCTAGAGGAAAAACACACATAAATCCTACGAAGAAGTAAGAAAATATATATATATCCCCAGTGTGTGTGTGTGTATATATATACAACATACACATACATACATACACACATACACACACACGGGGGGAGGGGGAGGAAACGTGTTAATTTATGTAGGCCTGGAAGGAAGTAGGGGAAGAGGAAGGCTTCAGACAACTGCTTTCCAGGACAAGACTGTCCGCTCACGCAGGACAGATATGTAGGTGCCCTCGCAACCTCTTGCTGGAACCTCCTGCGCCCAGAGCGTCTCTTTCGGTCTTCGGGTGACATTGAGGGATTCAGACGGCCGCTTCTTTCGTTGTTTCCCGCCGCCTCCCTCCCCCCACCCCCCCACCCCGAAAAAAGCCCTGTCGCCTTCCACCATCTTCTCCCTTGAACGCCTGTCTCCACCTGCGCTCTCTCGGAAGGCCAAAGAACTACTCCAAGCAAGCAAAAAGTGGATTCTCCAGTCCAACCCCAGTTTAGTCTTATTAAAGCCCGGCCGGCGCTCGCTTCTTCAGAAAGGGCCGTGAGCACCGTTGAGCAGAAGGGGGCGCCAGCCAGCGCAGAACCCGGGATCGGTTGTCCAGGTCTCTGAGGTTGCCTTTGGCTGGAGGCTTGGCTAGAAGGGCGGCCAGCCGTCTTCGCCTTCGCTGACAGAAAAAAACAAAAAACGAGGATTCACATTTCTCTTTCTCCCGCCAAACCCACGCTTTGGCTCGCTTTTGTTCCCGGGAGGCTACTAAGGCTCTGCGATAGAGGCGAAGAAAGGTGACCAAACTCTGGAGACGTTAAGGATGAATTGGCTTAACGAGCCCGGGCGGTTCGCAGAATACCGAAGGGAGGCTTGTAGCACCATTTTTGAGTCGCCCCTTTTATTCAAATGCCTACGCTTTTGGTTTGGCCTCTTCGTTTTTATTTTTATTTTATTTTTTTGCCACCATACGTAGATGAACCGGGTCCTGGTCGTACAGTAAAGGGACCTGCCATCCACAGGCCAGCCTAAAAACAGACAAGACGACCTGCTTGTAAACTGGTTGGGCCACATTCGTAACAAAGAAAAGGGGGGAACTTCAGTCTCTCCCTCGGGAGAGAGAGAAAGGGCGTCTTTTGAGGAAACAAGAGATCAAGCCTTGCGGGGGTATCTCCGAGGAACGCGCCGTAGCCTTCGCAACACAGGCTGAGAAATGGGCAAACTACCAGACGGCGCAGGCGCAGTAACGTTAAGCACGGGGCCAAGGGATACTTGTAGCTTCTCCGCCGGGCTCGGAATGGTCTGGCAGGCGAAAGGCAAGGAACCTTCCCCAAAGTGGATTGGGGGTTTAAAAAAAAAAAAAGGGAAGGAGGAAATATTCAGCCGCCCATTAACTTCTCTGCTTGAAGAGACCAAAAAAAAAAAAAAAGACAATTCAGAGATGGCCTATTAAAGCTCGCATGAGCCGCTATAAACAAATATCGGAAGGTTTTTAAAGGGTATCAATATGCGTGTGTGCGCGCTCGCATATTTGCCGCGTCTAAACTTTGGGGAAGTTTGTCAACGTCTTGGCAACGTAGAGAATGAAAGAGAGGTGCGGGTGAGAAGGAATTGAAGGGGGTAAATCAAGCTCCTCGGTTTCTTTCCTTGAGCACAACAACAACAAAACTCCCATATTTTGCTTCCGCTTTAACAAAATAATGATTCATTGGGAAAATGGGGCATAAATCTTCATTTTGGACGCAATTAAAGTGTTGATTTCATTCATGCCCCTAAGCGGTTCTTGTAATTTGCTCAAATAGCTTTATGTACCAAGCACTCTGAAGCTTTTAGAAACCTATTTTCTCGTTAGACTTGTTGGATTACAATTTTGATTCCACAACAGCCCTCTTCAACTACAGTCAGCGATATCTAACGGGGCGCACCAGACCCCCACCCCCCACCAAACCGCAGCCAACCT